GGTTCTTTCTCACCAGAGTTCCTGGATTTTATACTTGTTGGCCATTTTGCTCAGACACCAACAGGTTAGACGTTTTGGGCACTTCAAAGCTCAGGAAGTGAGCTTGAACACACAAATTACAACATGTCCCAAATTACCGAAGAGCTTTCTTGGTCATGCATGCGTCTACTTGTATAACAGCACCCAAGTGACAACAGGTACTGGAATTGGTAGTACGTGTTTTGTAGGGGCCAAGTGTCACATGCCCTGCAGCAATTCTGGCCGCGATGTGCCGGGCAGTCGGCCGCGACCATACATGCCTATGGGTATGTCTTTTTCGAGGGCACCCGTTGTTGCCTTGGTTTTTCAAGGGACACCACAAAGACAGCCACAGTTTAGGGGTGCCAAAGTGTTTTCGCATGCCCATATGCGCAACTGGCAGACGATTACTAGCAGCCCCTTGCTAGTTTGGGGAGGACATGGGAGGCCATCTTGCCAGCAATCAGGGAATCCGACCGGGAGCCGTTTCGACAGGATGCTGTCAGCTGGATGTCCTTGCCTCTCCCCTCCCAAAAAAAAGAGAAGTGCAATCTCTTTCGGAAGACGAACCCGTTCCTGGTAGACAAGCATACGCTATCTCAAACATGTTGTTATTTGTGCACCCCGGGTTTAGATCAAGTTTCCTTTTGAGCATCCGTTCGTAGGACAGCCCCAGCTTGTCCCATTTTCCGCTTCCCGCGAAAAAAAACAATCGGCGAGGCGGGTGATGCAGCTGGGGGAGCCCATGACTCCGGAGATGCAGCTCTTTAAGAAGGCGATGGAGATGGATCGGATGTCGGCCTTATGAAGCTATCAGGTTCCCCTTTTGCAGGGCTCCTTAAAAGATACATCTTGCCCATTTGAAGCATGTTGTTTTTTCCGCCAAAATAAAGGGACACCACCGTTTACAAGGCAATGTTCAGGTGTATAATGTAAGGATCCCCCCTATATGGTGTACGTCTTTTGGCATAGGTGTCCTTTTTTACAAAGGCAAACCACCCATGGGGTGAAGTAGTTGTGGAATCAAAGCAGTGAATTGCCCATCCTTTCTTTTTTTTAATGACCCCTTTTGGCTTCCTTTGGAAACAACAGAACATGGATGCGTGAGTTGTTAATCTGGGACCTTGTTGTGGACAACATAATTCGGCTTGGATTCATGCCCTCAACGGCTTGTGAGGTGGTCCAATGTCTTAAAATTCAGAGACATTTTTTGTTTACATGATCAACAGGGTTTGTTGCGGTTTCGTTGTTTTGGCTTGGCCCGAAACGACCAAACATTGATTTAAATAATTATTGCTCAATTGAACTCTTTCATTCCTTTCCCCTTTTGCTTTGTGGGTTTCCTGCTCAAAGTTTCTACCAACCAAACACAGTTCCCTTGTTCTACCAGGGTCATGACCAAATGACCAAGCATGACCAAACTGGTTTTGTCTAGTTTTGCAGGTTTGCCTCTCACCAAGCAAACAAGACGGCCAGAACGCCCAGCCGGCCTTTTCGCGGTCGGCTCGAAATCGAGTCGGCGCCGCTTCGGCTAGGCCTTCAACGATGAGGGCCTGCCACTTGGGCCAAAAGCCATCACTTGGCCTGCTTTTGGAGGGCGCCCTTTTCAGGTCGGTTTACAGGGAAGCCAAAAGCACAAAAACATGGGACACCAACAGGAAACCCACTCATTTTGGAGTGGACTCCTATTTTCACACATACACATTCAACTGAAAGTTTACTTCGTAATCTGGAGGACCATACCCAGAGTTGGCACGTCCCGTTTATTAAGGACAAACTAAAAACAAGTTGCCGAAGGAATGCCCTTGAAAGGGATGAAGGGGTCATGCAGACAAGCCGGTTTGGTATCACAACGCTGATATAGTCTCCAGAACCAGGTTTGAGGCCTTGTGGAGCTCTTTTGAAAACCATGCACAGAGGGCCACCAGTGCTATCTGGGCGCTGTAGTTGTTGGGGTTGTTTCATGCGTGATCAGCTTTAGGATTCGCTAAATTTTTGGACTCGTTTGGGAACGGGTTTAGTTGTAGCCAGCAAGTCCGGACTTCATTTGAGCAATCCGCTCTGGAAGTGAGTTGGGGAACCGCACCCAACTTCGTCAATGTCACTCTTCGGTCCCTTTTCGCTTGCTCACAAGTAGAATAGACCCCCAAACCCGCAACGCTTCTCTTCTACCGAAATCACTGGCAGCACTCCGTGTCCCAGTCCCCAAGAAGTCGCAACTCAGACTGAGGATCGGCTTCTTGCGGCCGCCGCAAGTACACTGCGCCCCGCCTTTGGTGATCACCGAGAGCCGCTTGACACGAAAAGAAGACGAACGAAAACGAGGGGAGGCCGCTGGATTTGAGGAAAGGCCCAAGGCTTTGGGGCATTTCTTGAGATGTTCTTGGGAAATGCGCGAAATCCTGTCGGTTCCCTGAGAGTTGGTCAGGATTCCATTGTTCAATCCCCAAGGTAGACCTAACGAGGGCTCCCCTTTCCTCCAAATAGGCTCGCGTTCTTTGCCAGGGTCACTGGACTGTGTATCATAGAACCAGTTGACGGGTCTCGGAAGAAGCAAAGCTTCTCTCTCGTGTGTTGGGATTCCGAACATCGGGTCGTGTCTCAGGGATCCCGTTTGCGGTTGTTTCCTTCTGGTTTGCAGGTTCACTTGTGCATGTCAAACATTTGGGGACCCATCATGGGTTTCGTTTTGGTTCGGGCACCTAGCCTCAAAGGAACACCCACCTGAACGTTCCAAAGCTCATGGTATTCGCAGGTTTGCGGACGGGCGGCAGAAGGGCATTTGTCAGGAGAAGCAATATGGGCGTGTCCTAAAATCGGCGAACCCCTCTCCCCCGCCAAACAGAAAAAGAGGTTCCCTTCCCTTTTCTTTCCCTTTAAACCACCCCTGCCACCCCCCCCCAATTTGGTTTTCCCCCCTTCTTTTTTGTGTCCCTTTAAAAAACCCGTCCACCACAATAATTGGGGGCCGATCCCAAAAAGACGGGGCCACCCAACATGACCACCGCCCCCGTCACCGCGTCACCCGGCCTCGGGCGAGGTGAGCTGCGGGACGGCTTCGGGCGCCTGGACCGCGCCTTGGAGAAGCTGCGCCTGGCCTTCCAGGCGAGCCGCGCGCCGCTCGAAAAAGCCGCGGCCTGTGGGTCAACGAGGTGTTTTTCCTTGGGTGCTGAAGACGGCTAGTAGAAACATCCAGTGGCTGGCCAACTTGCCCATGGCATTCTTGCACGACTCATGGCTGCCGATCTCACCCTTGTACACTATCGGTAAAGCACCAAACATTGGCCCACGGTCGGTCGCAGTTGGCACTGCCGCATTGCAATTACATCGCCAGGTTTACCACTTGTTTCGGAAGCCCGACTTTGGTTGGTCTTTGACCCCATGCAAACACTTCAACTGTTTGCAAGCCGGCGGTGCAGTGTGTTCCAAAAGGTTCAAAGCTACACTAGGCACGTATTGCAACTGGTTTCTATGGCCAACAGCCACACAAAAGCCAAGTTGCCGCAGGTTGGAACTGACAGTAACATGCTTCTGCACTGAAAAAGGTTTGCGTGCGTGCGACTGAACGGACAGGTGTTTTGCTTCCGCCTTTGTGCCAGGCTTGAGCGAAGCACCTCGAATCTACTTGGACTCTTTGAAGCTCTGCCAATTCAATGCAGCAGCGGTGGGTGCTTCCTTAACAGGACACCCTTTGTGGATTTGTCTCGTTCTTTAGCGGCGATTGCTCACTTTAGAAGAACGAGCCTTTTGCAATCTACAGCGGCCATGAGCTATTTGAGTTCTGGCGACCGGCACGAAGGTGCTTGAAATCGATTCAAATCGACCTGCGGAAAAAGGTGCGCAATGTGCCATCTGGTACTCAGAACCCATTCCTGAAGGAAAACAATCAAGACGCACCATCCCCATAACTCTCTCAACAATCCAGTTCTTCCTTGGCACCATTTGCCTTGTCGTGTGGTGCATCCACAAAGCAGAACAATTTGCCTTGTGGTGCGGTGCATCCACAAAACAGAGCAACCCAAATGGTTTCCTTTTCGGTCCCTGCACCCTGTTTCGGCCAAAAGGCAACCACTGAAAGCAACCAAAAACAGAAGTTTCCAACTTCTGGGGTTGGGCTCAGTGATTTTGATCGGAGATTGACCGTGGCTCGCATGATGAGTTGAATTGCCAGGATTGAGAACCATGCACTCCCTTTGGATGTTGTTTGAATGGGGACTAACACGGCATCATCCATTTTTCAGGTCCTCTGCTTTTGGGACTAGTCACCTTAAAAAGCACAAAATCACCAGAGGAGAAGCTGCACCTTTCGAAAGAGAAGGCCCGGACCCTTGTCGGTCATCACGCTATTCCTCGGGTAAAAAGGATCCGGTTCTTCGGTGAGTTCCGCGCCCTGTTTGCCCTGTTTGATGGGTTCCCACGATCGGCCAACCCCACAAAGGGACTCCATGTTCCCTCAGTCAACTGGGTGCTTGCGGCTTGGCTAGAAATCCTGGATGTGTAGATAAAGATTCAGAATGTTAGTCAGATCCAGACATGTTTTTCGAAGGCCGATAAGAAAAGGAAGTGCGGGAAAACAGCCCCCAATGGGTCCAACATGGCCATGAATTAATGTAAGGACCTGTACAATGAGGCTTTGAGACATAGTGCTGTTCAACGACCGTTGGGGCGGGGGGCTTAGGCTTCCATCCTTGAACGTAAACGAGACAGTGTCAGGCAAACTAAACAGCTCGGACTTGTTTTAGCCACTCAAAGATGTAGCTTCGCCAACCTGAAACTATTCTTATGAACAATCTTTCAATGGACATAGAATCCATCTATGAGCCCATGAGCAATCCGTGTTCTACTTGTTTTTGAGGGGTGCCCCCTTGTTTCAACGTGTTTAATGTGTTTTTTACTGGGAACACCACCACTACCCGGTGTTAATGTGGTTCGAAACTCGAAACCCACAGAACAACCGAAGCCGTTTTTGTGCGTCTTTCGAGGCTACGGCCTTCGAGAAGGGCTCGCGCTGGCAGCAGGCCGGAACCGACTCGGCGTCCTCATGGCACGGGGGCAAAATGGAAAACTGCCAGAAATCGGACCGCAGGCTTTGATGTTTGTTTCCATTTGCCGGGGCAACCCATTGGGCGCCCCTAGTTTTGACCCACACTCAGATGTTTATATTTGGCTCGTATATGGCATACAGAGCGTTTCAGGAATTAGGGTTTAGGGAGTAGGAATTGGACCACAGGTTTCCATGTACCAGGGTTCCGTCTTGGGGTTACGCTATGTATTTGGCTCGTATATGGCATGGAGCGCAACAAGCGTTCTGACTAGTTCAAAAGGAATTTGTTTATCAGTTCCCTGCTAGTGCTTCGAAAAAGCGGTTCCCTTCTTGCTTCCCTTGAATTTGGAATCTTCATATCAACATCATTGGTTCTCCCCCCCACACAATTAGGTGGGAAACATCATATTAACATGCTTTGTCAGGTGGTTGATGCCTGATTGACTGAGAAATCCTTACAACATAGTTTTGGATTCGGGTGATCGTTCCCCCGCTTGATTTAGCTTGGCAAAAGAAAGTTCTTCCTTGATGGGGCTGCCTTGTTTTTGTCGTGGTGAATGCATACACATCACCCATACTTAGACGTTTGTCTTGCTACAATACCCTTGGATCACACGTGTTTCCCTCGCGCCCCCCCCCCCCAATGAAAGGATCTATGACCATCATGATGGTACCATGGTGTGTGGATGCGTATAAGGGGGCGCGTTGCAAAAGATGGTTTGGAGCCATAGCATAGGGTCGCGCCACTCAGAGACACGGCCCTGGCCGCGATGAACGCTCTGAGTTAGACCCGGCGAAGCGATCAGAATAACTAGCCATGGATGTTGGGGGGGCCAAGGAGTCAAAGATAATTGATCGGTGTCCCCAGTATCATTAGACAGGGCGCCCAAAAGCCCCATCTTCCCCCAACAGCACATAGGTTAGATATGATTCGGGGAGGATGTCCTAGACATCATCCGACAGCAACCAGCATTTGTGAGGGGCCAATTATCCTTTGGAAAGTTGACGCCAGAGCCCCAAAGGAATTGGCAGCCCAAGATTTACTTGCCATACGTGTTATTATTCCACCATGGCTCCTCTTGCGAGTCGACTCTCAAACGGTTTGCGACGAAGGTTCCTTCAGGAAAGGCCTTTGTGATGCCATCTGAAAACAGGAGAATCCTCAATATGGTTCTGTCTTGTTGGGGACCCCCCCTTTTTGGTTGAGGAAACCAATTATTTTGGGGGGTTCCCTCCAAAACAACTTCCTTTTGATTTCAAGGTGCTCCAACATCCTTTTGAGTCTCCCCGAGCGATGGCCTCCAATCGCCTCACACCATCCAGGCGCTGCGCCTTGCAGGCGCGCTGAACATGTCTGATGGCATCGGTGGGTCAACCTGGGCTCTGCTCCAAACGTAGTGTATATGGGCATGGGTCTGAATGAAACCAGGGGACCGCATTTTTGGTCCATGCTTCCATTTGCCCGGGTTCCATTTTAGGCACCTATTTTTGACCCACAGCCATACTTTGGGCTTGAATAAATAAGACACATAGTCAGAACATGTTTTGTTGGTCGGCCCCGAGATTTGGGTCCGCTTGTAGGTTGGAATGCAAGTGCGTGAACCATTGGGTTGAAGCGCTTGGGGGGTGGAACAAGAAGCCATGTGAGTCCTGCGGATTGATCAAAAATGATACGTTGAACCAAAAGCCGTGAAACTTGGGTTCGGGCAATCAGATAGGAATCCATTTGAGTATGTGTCAAGTATCAAGGGGGGGGGGCAAACTGGGTTTCTCCTCAAAGAAACCACTTGAAAAGTGAGGGCGAGAGAGTCGGAAGCACTTTCTCGCCAGCACCCTGTGAATGGCTGCTGCATTGGAGATTGCACTCATGACTCATAGTGATTTGGGGCCACGGCACTCATCACGACAGCTAGCTGTGCTAGCGGGAGTTCTCAGCTTTTTTGGGGCTGAACTTCCCACAATGCCTGATTTAGTCATGGTTTGGGGGGGGTCACATGCTGGATTCCCAAGAACAGATCTTCACCGCGATCCATCCTCCTTGGACCCCCCCCCCCCCAGCGCCGCACGAGCGTATGGTTCCCAGAATCTGGTCTTGTATGCAGCTGGGAAATCTGTCTCAGTCGGTCGGTGCAAGTTTGGGTCTTACTGGATCTTCACTTGAGGTAACTCCTGGGTCGTACATGTCAGGCGGCTTGCTGGCTTTCATTCACCCGCCTCTCAAGCTTGGGGATACCATGTTTGCCGGTGGCTTCATGCAGAATTCAGCAACTTCAGTCTGTTGGGAGGAGATGCTGGGCACCCAATCTCTCACGAAACTTACAGTGTTCCCATGTCCTCTTTGGAAGCAAGGCCACATGTTATTTTCATGCGCCATGGTCAACCGCTTTGAAGACCTGCTTAGCTGGGTCTTATTAAGGGTATGATGACCATAGCATAAAGTCTTTGACCATGGCACGTAGGAGTTTAGCTCAACATGTTTAACATGTTTAGTAGTGCGTTTGGGTTCGAGACGTATGAGAGCCCTGAACGAGGGACGCCGTAACGGTGTTTCAGGCAGACAACACAGCGCGATAAGCCGGATGTGCCGGGGTGTGCGCCAACCAAATCTGCTCGAAGTTGCGCGGGAAATGCCCGCCTTGCGCGATCCCCCATTAAGGGCCTCTTGTTGGGCCCTTTGACTTTTCCACAAAACCAAGAGGATAGTCTCTAGTTGTCCCATGTGCCAATGGGGTGACATTTGCACATGTTGTCCACTGCATATATGTCTTTCTGAGTGCATAAGCCTTTTTTGCAAGTGGTCTGAAGGAGGGGTTGCTTTGAGGGTTCCCACATTTTGAGATAAACGCACGCGGGTTTGTCAAACGGGTTGTCTCTAAATGGGGCATCCTCGAAATGGGTATATCCCATTGACTTCTCTTCACAACAAAACTGCATACAGGGTAGCCTCCCACTATGGCGTTTCTCCAAAAGGAGATTGATCTTCCATGTAACCCCGCCCCCGGAAGTGCCTTGTTGAATAGGAGTGCCCCTATCGGGCTTTAGGCATTCATATTTGGGTTGACCTCCAAGCCAGCTTCCCAAAACCTTTGGTTTCTCGTTGAACGAACACCACAACAGGGTACCCTTGAACAGAGACCCACCCTGGGCTCAGATAGGCGAAGGTGGTGACATCGCCACCTTCTCTGCCGCCATCAGTGCCGTTGGAAGAGGCGCCTTCCGGTCGGCACGTCCCCGGGCGTGGATTTTATGAAGGACGCCTTTGCGTTTGCTATGAGTGTTGGTGCTTCAGAAGGTGTATTCTGGGCCTTTTCAGACCTGCAAGATCCTGCAAGCTATCTTGCGAGGGAGAACACCCGGAGGTGAGTTGCTTCACGCTCCGGCAGATTATCACGGAACCCCAACGAAAGCTGAGTTTTAGAGGAATCACCTGCTAGGGGCAGATCAAGCTCTTATTAGGTGATCTTTTTTCTGGGTCCTATGTTAACACTGTTGACACCACCAGAGGTGAGATCAATACTTTGACAAGCAGTTTGATGGCTAAAGCGCAAGGGTCGCAGCTTGTTTGCTCACCTGCTGTTCTCATGCCCAGCACAAACCCAGTGGGTGGCAGTGGCTCCACAGGTCACCTTGCCCCGAGCTGGTGGTTTGGGGGTAACCTTCCGACTTGGTTCAAGAGGAACTCATATTCAACCAGGCTCCGTTTGTTGGGGTCGATGTGTCCAGTCCTTGAAGAAACTCCCACAGAAAAATATTTCTGGTTCTACAAGCCGACCATTGCCAGAGATCCATGGTCAGTCAGACATTCAAATGTATTCCCTAGTGAGAACAAGAAAACACGCCTGATTGCTTTGTGTTTTGCTTATTCTTGTTTAACCCCCCAACAAGCAAGCAAGGAGTGGTTTAGTTTGATTGCTCAAAGAACACCCACGCAATCGTCCTTGCTGCAGTTGCGGACCGCAACACTAATCCACCCCCTCGCATGCAGCGGGATCTTTTCCACCTCAGGGTGTGAAGACGGAATCGCGTGTGGCCACAATCACAAGGCTTGCACCTATACTTTTCGCCTCACTCAGCCAGACAGCAGCAGAGCAATTGCCTGTTGAGCTACCCTACAGTTTTGTGCGCAAGCGTGGGGTGGGTGTTAGTCATATTATGTGAGATGGCTTCCCATGCAATTCCCCAGAAAGAGCACCCTCGAAAGTGAGATCCCATAAATCCCAAAACCTCCGTTTACCCAAGCCCTCAAGAAATGACATCCCCCCAAGTGTCTAGATCTCAATTTTTCCAGACTCGTTGCCACCTCGGCCCAAGCAAGCGCCGAACTTCTCCCAGGTGGGGGTCCCTGGGCACTGGCGCCAGCGCTGCTGGCACGCGCGCGGTCGCAAGGCTTGCAGTTGGATGCCTGGGCTCCCAAGGTGCAGTTGATTCGCCATCACCCGGCAACAGAGTTGTTTCTTACCCAAGCAATGGAAGCAAAGCCCTGCGTTCCAACGGTGTTGTGTCAAAACCCGGGTAGTCGCCCAAATGAATCCAAATAGCAACGCTTGGATTTTGCCGTCTTTGTCAGGTACAGTTTGCACAATGGGCTGCCTCTGACACCTGATGGTTACCCAACCTCCAGACCTCCAGGAGTCTTATTTGAGGGAGGAGGTTTCCCTTCAAAGTCTAGTACTAAACATGGGCCTTGTTCATGGATGTCTGGGAAGCTGCTGTTGAGGTCATTATTTGCTCTGCCGCAATCAATGCTTCGGTCAAGGGCCCCCGCTGGGAGGCTGGACGGGAGACGCATCGCCGGCTTTGGCAAGTTGATGAGAAAGGGGTCAAGCGAGGCTGGCCAACTGGGAATTTACGGGAGCTCCAGATTCGGCCCCTTTTTGGGCCCCGCATGTGTGTTTCTCAAAGTTGGGGACCCCTCCAGGTAGGGGGTTTCCCTTTGGTTTCCCTTTTCCTTGCCATCCAGAGCAACACCCATTGGTTTTTGTGCACTTCCCTAAATGCACCCCTCGGTTTCTTGTTTGAAACATCCATCTAGAAGAAACCACCCTAGATTTTTCGTTTCTTTTTTTCCCCATGCTTGCACTTCTCCATGGCTCCCCAGGCGTTTGGTTTTTTTCAGGTGGCCTTGGAGTTGCTGGAGTGGATGCGCCCGGGCCCCGGGCCCCGGCCAGACGCCGGGCAAAGCTTGTCTGCCGAGTGGTGCCTGGTGTTCCATTGAGGGCAAGTGCTTGAGCCCTGAAGTAAAACAAAGCTTCTGGGAAAAAACACTTCCTTGTGGTTTCCCTTAGAGGAAAGACAGGGGTCTGATTGTTTAAATGAACTTGTCTTGCTCAGGTGCACTTGTTGCTTGGCAATATGAAATACTCGCGAGCTTTAATTGCTGCCATATCAAGGACGGATATAAGGACGGCCACGTTGATCTTGCAACGGGCAATGCGACACTTACAACACTTTGCCCAGACAGCGTGGTGCTTGTAGCCGGAGATCCAGCAGTTCTCTACGACTGTTGGATGTGTTGCACGTCTTTGAAACTCGAAGCCCCATACTGAACAAGTGGCGCCAGAAGGTAGAACATGTTGGGTGGGTGGGTGGGACTGTTTGGGGAAAGGTGCATGTTCCTTCCAACCAACCCAAAGGTTCGGCTTTTGGCACTTGCAATAGCCACACGGTTTTGTTGCGTGCCGCTGTGGTTTCAGTTTCAAGGGATAGATGCCTGTTCCTTTGCGTGGAGTCAGAACTTGACATGGCCTGGCGCAATGTGAGCTGTTTTACGTAGCAGAAACCGCTGCTCTGGCGGGTAATCCATTGAATACTGGACGGATATGGCTTCTTCCCTGGCTTCCAACAATAGTGACTGGTCAAGTCGTTGCCAATGGAAGTTCGGGAAGTGGGCCAACCTATTCAATACCAGGGGTTTGCCTAGATTCCTGACCAGTGGTCTGATCACCTAGCGCTGTGCTTTTTGAGCGGCACCTGCAACTTGCTGACATGGTCGAGGGCAGAGCGTTTGGCAAGTAGAGTTTGCCACTGGGCTCGTTTTGTGTTCAGAATAAAGGGACCTAAAGTGACCCTTTTCTCAAGCCAAATTGGGGTGTCATGACATTTGGGCAAGTGACATCGCGACGTCGGAGTAGATTTTGGTTTGGGGCCGAAATCACCTATGATTACCATCATCAAGTGTCCTTTCCTGGCAGACCCCAATTTTAGGTTGGTCGATTCACGTGCCATTCAGTGGAGTCTGGCCAGACAGTATCCCTGTTCATACATGAAAGACATGACCGCGGCCCAAGCTTTGGCTGTCGTAGCTCTGATGCCTTCACCTGTCTGTGGCTGAACGCAGGGAACAAATTGAAGGGCTGCTTAAATCTGATCACAGGCAGGCTTGCTCCAAGCCTCACACAAAAAATGGGCAACAAGGTAGAGGAGAAACTTGGCTTGGTTTGCTTTGGTTTTCCTTTACCAAGGGCCGAGATTCTACTTTTCGGCAGTCTTTGCAGCAACTCTGGCACACACACAGCATCAACAAGAGCTTGGCCCAACTGGCCAGGCGAGCTACGTCTTCAGCCCAACCTGATTTGTCACTTGGCCAGGGGATTATGGGGCGAGAGAATTGGCAGTTGGTGTTCTGTACAGTCGACATAGGCCAAGCAAAGGCCTAGCACGTCAAAGAACGGCACTACGAACATCAACGCTAGATGTTTGCATGGCTTTCATGTTACTTGGGCGGAGCGAGTCGCGACCGCACCTGTGTCGCCCACGGCGGGTACTTTCGCGAGAATCTTGTTCTTTCTGTTTGAATGCATTGCCGGCAAGACCCTGATAGGCTCCTTCGGGTTGTAAGCCATGGTTCAACCGCCCGCCCTTTTTTGCGCACCCCTTGTAAAGAGCACTCCAAACAACAGTCTCCGAATTCAGTCAACAGGCCTTCGGGACACGGGAGATCCAATTTCAGCGAGTTGGGGATGAAACACAAGGGTTCCTCTTGCCCACAAAGCGTGAGCGACTCAGTTGTTCAGTGGCACCCTTTTTCCCCCTTTTTGGGTGGCTGCCCCACTAAAGTTGGTCCAAGCCCCAAAAAAGGGTTCCCTTCGTTTCCGGGGTCACTGAACAACTGAGGTGAATGACATCTGTTTTGGACCAGCGGAAAACTTCTCCGAGGAACAGCTCAGTTCAGGGAGCCGACTCATCGCCCAAGTTGGGGTGAAACCAAATTGGCTATGGGTCAAAATCAATCCACTAGAAAACCACATGTTCCTGTCCTTGGTTCCATTTACCAGGGGATCCAATTTTTCAGGTTTCCAATTCTCAATGACTGGGAGAAAGCGCCTAGCAACTCCCGGAGTTGGTCCGTCACGGAGTTTTCTCCGAGGTTTTGGCGCCGCCATCAGCGCCCTGGCCTTGAGAGAGTTCCTGGGAGGAACTCCAAAGGACACCCTAGGAGCCCACCCGTTTCCGCATCTTCCAAACAATGTGGGCCAGGGGGGGAACGCCCTGTTGCCCGGAATTCCTCCGGATGTCTGGATGTCTGGCAGCTGTGATCTCAGGATCATTCCGTGTGAACCCAAGCCAACCTGCCGGAAGGGGGGACTGAAGGACCATCCTTTTCAGAATATAAGATAATATAAAGGCCTTTTGACCCGATTGTTGGTTGGAAGATAGATAGATCCTTATTAGGATACGCTGAGTCGACTGCTTCTGGCTTTCATGGCTCCAAGCAGGGGTCGGAACGTGTTGAAGCAACTGGACCCTGTTACTCTTAGCCCTCAACAGGAGAACTAACGGGAGCTTGTTTAAAACAAGTGGCGTTTGAGCAGTTTTGAAACAAGGGGCTTGGCCCAGCCCTGGTTTCAATACTGTTGGTGTCGCTTCAGCACAATTCCCAGAAGTCCAGGATTTCCAGGTAGGCAGAGGTTCACAGAAGCAACCATGCCACATGAGTATTCGTCAAAATTTCAATCGGGGATAATTTCCCCAACAACAATTAAACTGGTTGGTGTCCCTCAAAAAACGTATTTAAAACCGCTGGGTTTTTCGATTTTAGGCCAACCTGAAACGGGTTTTGCACCCTGAAAAATCCATCCACTGGATGGATGGCCCGTTTGGGGCCCAACGCCCCGACTGAGGCCTGTGGGAAGGGCAGGCACTGGCAGGCGGGCTAGCCGTCGCTGGTTGCAGAAATGTATGATGGGCTTGTCTCAAATGTCGCGCCCAAACTGGCAGGTTTTCTGCGTGGCTTTCCCTTCAAAGACCACACCAACAGATCCCAAAACGGGTCCCCCTCCAGAAAACCTACACACACAAATGGGTGTGCAAGTGCTCCTTCTTGGGTTTGAAGGGAAACCAAAAGGAAGGATCCACCCCATTTGCTCAAATTGACCACTGGGTACTCCCCCCGACCCCCAAACATTCATCCCCCTGCAAAATCCCCAGTTTGGAATCCCTTTCCCAATGCATAGCCGCGCATCGCACATTTCTCGCCAGGGCTCCTGGGCATTGCTGGAGGAGATTTGGTCTATGGAACTGAAGCCCGCAGGGGGCTGAGGATCTTAGCCCAGCGCAAGCTCGGGGTTTTGTTTGTTTGGTATTTTATGTTTTTATTGTTGTTATTACTGTCAGCATTTGTTTATTATGATTCTGATGATCATCATTATTCGTGTTTGGTATGTTTTTTTTTTTGTTAGTTGTTATTATGTTAATTAGTATCAATACTTATCTGCTATTATTATCGTCAATTATCATTATTATGATTATTCTTATTCGTATTCGTAGTATTATTATTCTTAGTATTGTTATTATTATTATTGTCATTATTATTAGTTGTATTTATTATTATCATTATTATTATTAGTATCCTTATTAGTATTATTAGTTTGCTATCAATTCATTCTTGTACATGATTAGCATTATCAGTTCTAGTGTTATGTTGTATTATTTACTATTATGTATTAGTTATTATTATTACCGTTATTAATACTAATAGTATCATTAGTATGTTGTTGTGATTTGCTGGCGTGTTTTGTTGCTTTGTTAACATATCTATACATATGTATTTGTCTAATGCGGGGTGTGTGTGTGTGTGCGCGCGTGTGTGCGTGTGTGTGTTGTCTGTGTTGGGTGCTTCTTCCTTTTTTTTATTTGAGGGGGGGTTGAGGTTAGTTGTCACTGTTTTTGATGGCCATGGGAATACTGCATGATTTCAATCAACAAGGCAAGCATGCGGATGGGACTCCCATCTTAGCATCACAGAATGGACAGTGGGGGGAGTGAAGGGACAGTCCCACTTGCGTGATAAAGCGCATTTTTCCCGACAAGAAAGCTCTGTACCCTGGATATGTTCTGGGCCTGGCGTAGGGCACTTGTTCAAGATTGTATGACTCCCTGGGATTACACCAGAGGATGACAATCTCTGTGGGAATTTCCTGAGTCCTTGTTGTTTCGGACCAGAGTGTGACACGTCAGGCAGCAAGACATGTTTTGTCTCCGATGACTGGGCAGTACCTGGTTTCCTCAGCATCCAGTCGCCGTTTCGGGTCCATGACTTGTTTGGCTTGGATCTGGCAGAGATCTCTGTGGGGCCAAAAAGAGATTTCTCTAAATACCATCGTGTTTCAGTCTTCCGCAATAATTCCAGCGGACATATACTGGCCATGCGGGGTACAGTGGAAGTTGCACTGCTGAAGCAGGCAAGCAGGCAGGCAAGCAAGCAAGCAAACAGGCAAATAAGCAAGGAAACCAAGCAAACAACAAGCAAACCGCTAAACAAAGAGTGGACTCTTTGTTTTAGTGACGAAAGCGAATCCCAAAGTCAGTTGCCCTTGTCTCGAAGAATCGTGGAAGTGGACAGGGGCCTTATCAAAAGGAAAGCAAAGGGCATGGAAAGTGACTGTGTTTCGTTGTTTTCAGCTGGGCTCCAGCAGTTGCTGGGTTCTCCTCCAAAGTATTTTTGGTAGACAACATATGCAACAGAGTCTGGCAGAATTTTTAATTTTACTGTGCACCTGGACCCCCTGAAGGACCCCCTTTTATGTGCCTTTGGACCCATTCTTGGTGAGTCAAGGCAGAACAAAGCCCCGCTTTTTGGGGGGAGGTACGCGAGATGTGGGCCAAGGTTGTGATTGTTGGACATGTTCGGACCTAAGGACTTGGTGATCTTCAATGCGGCGATCACCGCGTGCGAAAAGGCGAACATGGGACGTCCCTTTCGCACGTCTCTACAGGGCGTGTCTCTTTTGAGGTTTTGCAGGGTAGCCTTTTTGGGGTCGGATTCAAGGGACACCGAGAGAATGCCGCCGATGTTTTTTTGTGGGGGGGGACACCATTTTTGAGAGAAACCCTATTGTATGCCCAGACCTCCAGTGGTGCCCTTGTTTTTTTTTCGTTTTGAAGGGGGTTTCGCTTCAGAGGGGCTTCTCCTTTCAACTCACCGACCAAAACGTGTACTTGGCCATGGTTTCACAACCGGGAGTCGAATGCGCTTGGCACTAGTTCCAAAATGCTTGCTACGAGTGCGTCTTTTGTGAGGTAGGAACACCATCGTTTTGGGGGGGTCCCTTAAAAACACGCAGACACACACACTTGAACTCCAGATGGAGAGTGCTAATCTTTCGAGTACAACTGATGAGTCTCGAGTACAACCGACAAGTCTCGAGTACGATGAGTTTCGGCTCGCAATGCACTTGGCTTCCCTGTAGGTACTTTAACAGGGAAACACAAACAACGGCGGTTCAGGGAGGGGACCAAAAGGACTTTCAGCAACATCACGACGCAGGTACAGGTGTCCACGTCTGGACACCCTTCCCACCTTTGGCAGTAGCTTCATTGCGTGCAGTATGCCAAAGGTGCTGCACGCCCCTGCTGCGAAATAGAAAGGGTGGTGACAGGGCATTCTGTCACTCCGCACACACACGCCCCTCTACGAGGGGCGAGGTTTCTCTTTTCTCCTGCAGGAAGATCACATGCTCAAACTCAAATCACTATCGTTGACCAAAATATCCACCACGGCGAGGGGAGCGAGACACTGCCCTAAACCGCTCAGAAGACGGGAACGAAAGATCACCACGTTGAGCGTTGCGAGTGTCGCCATAGAGGACTGAAGCGATTTGTGAAGCAGCCTGGCGATCACCATGAGAAAACGGAGTGGCATAGGTGAAGGTCTCCTCAACTTGAACGGCATCGGAGTTCCGACCTTGACCAAGAGTCTGATCCTGTGAATCGTGAGTTGCGAAGGACTCCATCCGAGACAGAATGCGCTGGTACCCTTGGTGTTGCCAGTCACGGATGTTCCATGCCTGGACTGGCGCTTCGGGATCCGTCACCCGCTGCCATTCACGAAAAGAGTTTTCAGGTAGATCAGGTACGGCGTCACCACGGTGCCATCGTTGAGGTTGTCCCGGAGTGTATATCCGCACCCACTCCTGATCATGCCAGACCGAATATTCGAGCCATGGATACTGCTTGGAATCATCGATGTCCATGTCAAGGCAAGAGGCAAGGATGGTCGCGGGCTCCGATCCAGCTAGTAGATGAACAAGCACCATGCACAACCATGTTCAAACAACAGCAAAGCAAGATCATGCAAGTGTAGAGGCCACCCTTATTTTGTACGCTGCGCTGCTCATGCACGGCTAGTCGTCAGTCAGCTCGAAGACGGGCCTCATCTTGTCTTGGCCTCTGTCGGACGGATTCACGGGCGTGTAGGGGTCGGAGACCCCAATCGTCTCCGATGGTGTGTTTCCACGCGATGCACGTACTGGTTGATGAGGATGGGAGGTCTGACGTGCGCGGGCCGTCAGTTGTTGAGAAATCCCCTCCTGGAGACGAATCAGTTCTTCAGTGGAGAAATCAGCCGCATCCGAGGACCTGAGAATCGCGTCTAACAGCTCCGGCGATATACTCAACGCCGCCGACTGCGTGGCCACGTTATGGTGATCGGAGGGATACATGGAATCAAATTCATGACCAGCGTGAGGAGCAGCGATTCTCCGATAGCCCTCTGTGGCCCAGTCTCGCTTGTACCACGTAGTGACTTGGACTTGCCCATCGTCTGAGTCCTGGTTGGGAGCATAGAACTCCCGCCATTCTCTGAAAGTATGCGGAGGAGGTGGAGCATCATGTTCTTCTTGAGGCGTCCATGGTCCCGGATGAAAGATCTTGACCCACTGGGCATCAGGTTGTTGCGGGTCTGGGCACCATTCCAGCCACGGCATGACAACGCAACCACGGAAAAACAAGTTGATAGGTGTACGGCTGCAGACAACAACAAGTGAAAGCAACTCAACTATCAAAAGGCAAAAGACCACTTTTGTAGCACTGTGCGTCGCCAACATCTCAGGCAGACTCTCTAGGGAGGCGAGGACGGGCATCAGCTATCATGTGAATTAGATGATGCCGAAGAGGAGGTCATTCCAGCATACATGAGGTCCGGTGCACCCGAAGCGAAAACTGGCCTCGCTATGCTGGGATGTGGACGACCCAGGCGTTGATACCCCCTGGTGACCCAGTCCCTGTAATACCAAGTGTAGAAGGTGGCATAGGATACCGGTTGCAGAGCCGTGCCTATAGTTGTGCCGCCCGTGCTTTCCCTGGGCCAGTACACTTCGAAGTGGTAGACCTTGCGCCATTCCCGATAGGCGGTCGGGTCATCCGGGGCCGGTCCCAGGGTGTCTGGGGCTACTGGATGCCACTGATCCGGCACATAGATTCGAATCCATTCCACACTCGTTCCTGCTCGACCATGAACGATGTCATAGTCAAAATAACGAGGTAGGTCCCATCGTGCTGCACCCTGCACTGTACTATTGAACATTTCAACCCAACAAGCTGCTCAAAGGTAGCCCGGAAAGCGGCGGATACACTGAAACGACATGCACAGCACCACGCAAGACAACCCAATGTGAGCACACATACAAAGCAAGCACAACCGCATCTTTGTCCAACATGCTGTTCAAAAATCAATCCGACTCATTCCAAGGATCATGGAATGGCGGCGGTGACGGTTCCCGCCACGCCCCATCCGGTACCGACGAGCCCACCGAGGACTCGACGTCCGCATTAACGAGCATCGCGAATCCCATGGATTGTACAGGAGGTCCAAGGCGTTGGTAACCTCGTGTTTGCCAGTCCCGGTACTCCCACACGTGATAGGACACATAGGCACTGGGCGTGACTATAGGGTCCATTGTTGTTCCACCGGTGCTGTCTTCAGACCAGTACACTTGGAAGTGATATGATCTGCGCCACTCCCGATACGTGGAAGCGTACAGTGGGTCAGGAACAGGAGCCTCATCGGGAACGGGCCTCCAAATGCCCGGAGAGTAAATTCGAATCCATTCCACTCCTCTATCGATCTGGTACTCGAAATACTGGGGGTTCATAGCAGCAATACGTGCTTGTACGACTGTGAACCAATCGAAAGACTGCGACAAGGACACACATGCATTGCAAACCGCACATACACACTGAAGAGTGAGGCAACTTTTCAAACACAAGGTGAAACGCAGCAACGAGGTCGGAAATGTCAGACTCCTAGCTTTCACTGTCGTTGATGTCGCGCACACCTGCAATGATAGTGACCTGGCCGTCTACGAGCACAAGGGGAAAGACATTTCCGTCCATGGCGCAGGATGGCGTGACAGTAATGTTTGCACGCCGCCGAGGGGGATATCGATGGGCGGCCTGCACGTTTGGAATAAAACACTGTAAAGGGCCGTCGATATCGCCGCGGCGCCGAAGCTGATGCTGTCCGAGATCGTTTGGACGAGGGCCCTGGACTGCGTGGTTCTTCATCACGGGAGTGGTCACTGCTGTGAATCGAGCGGCGTGTGCGCTGCGATTTCGAAGAGGTAGGGCAGGATTGTCCACGAGGGGCTGAGATCGTGGGGCTGCGTACCGAGGGCATAAACTGTGGGTGAAGAATCACCGGTGGTGGTGGTGGTGGTGGAGGAGGAGGTGGAAGAAGCAATGGCAAACTTGGCGGGGGCGGAGGTGACGTAGTTAACCGTATGGGTCTGTCGAGTAGAGCCCCGGGTCCATGAAATTGTAACCACGTCGGCTGCGCTCCATGGGTCCAGGTAATGTACGTCTGTACAACTTGTTCCGACATGATTTGAGCAACTCAGGCAAGACATCACAGCATGTCAACGACATTGCACAACACGACAAGCAAGATTGATTCACATGCGAGCAAGCAAATATCATGTGATCAACAACGCGAATCGGACACACCGCCGCTGCGTATCATTTGGTCAATCAATGGTCATTGCTGCATTTGTCGGGCATGGTGCTAGCCGCGAGCTTCAAGTTGTTGGTAGACCTTCCATGCCTGCTTGACTTCCTCAATCGGCTTCTGAAGAAACCGCGCAATGGTCTTATAGGTGGGCCTGGAATCTTTATCCTTCTTCCGTCTCACCATTTCATCCAGCTCACCCTGTGTCCATGCCGTGAAAGGTTCACGGTACGCATTGCGAAGTGCAATGGTAAATTCTTGTAGAAGTTCGCGAGGACCATGGACCACCGTCGGCGACGGCCGGAACGACGAGGCACCTGGATGCGGACGTATCGAACCATCAGAATCCGACTCAGGTGTCGTAGGCGTCGTTTGTCCTGGCTCTCGTCGACCGTGTGCTGCGAAGGGAGCGAGAGGACGAGGCGGTGGCAGTCGATCTAACACAGATTCGGGCCGAGTACCAGGATTGTGTTCACTAGCATCACGATGTGCGGGTCGAGGCGGGGACAAAGCCGGTATATACCAGGTAGATGACGTGTCCACCGGTCGAGCCCGAATGCGTGTGGGGGATCGAGATCGGTCGGAGGAGGCGAGCTCCGTGATGATGCGGGGCCGCAACCCATGTCTGGAGTTTCTTGGTGCTCTCGGGGTCACCACCGTGTCTGTCGGACGACTACGCTCCGTCATCAAGGCAAAGTTCAGTGTGTCCAAAGCTGTCGCAACCTGGGATGCAAGAACATTGAGCACAGCCACCAGGTTGTTCACAAACTCAGCAGACAACTGCATGGCAACCGATCAAACCTCAAGGACAACTCACACAAAGCTGCAAAGCGATAATGCTGCGGCATGGCAATGACATGGTGCATGAAAGCATGAACGACGCAAACGCTGAGGTACTTTTGTCGCTGTTGCTCCGTCACCGTTCATAAGACAGGCCGGAAGGTCTGCAGGCTGGCA